TGAGACGAGTTTGAACTCAGGGCCTCATGCTTGCTAGGCAGATGCTCTTGAGCCACTACACCAGTCCTTTTATGTGCCGGGTATTTTCAAGATAGGGTCTCATAAACTTATTTGCCCAGGTTGGCCTCAAACCTCAATCTTTTTGTTCTCTGCCTCCTGAGTAACTAGGATTATAGGAATGAGCCACAGGCACCAGGCTCCCACATTGGATTTTAGGCTTTGAGGGAAGTATGAGCTTGGCCTGTGGCTAGGTCTGCCAGTCTGTTGTCATCAGGTTTGCTTAACTTTCCTTGTAATTATGCTTTCAGCTTCCCCTTTCTCTTGCAGAGGTATGGTTTGAACTGTGAGCTGTTTCTTAATTTTCTTTGCATTGCCTTTCTGTTTCTCTGTGGTTTTCAGCTGTCCTATTCAATGCTCTTTCTTTCTCTTTGGAATATAGTCTCCTTTGCTATCCTGACTCTTCATTCAGTCACATTGAGGAATGGTCTCATGTGCCATTTTACTCCTCCTCTCCCATTTGAGTCTTTTTAATAGGTCATATATTATCACAATTGGAAATCTGAAGAATGAGTACAGTGTTTTTGTTTGGGGATATGCTAAAGTTCTAGCAGTGGATGATGGTGATAGCTGCACATCACTGTGAATGTATTTAATGCTGCTGAACTGTATATGCTGTTGAATATACACTTAAGAGTAATTAAAATGAACTTTATCTATGTTCTAACATAATAAACAAATCTGAAGTTTAATAAACAATATATACTAACTGGGCTCTCTCCCATTTCTGTCCTTTCCCACCCTCATCTCTTCCTTATATATGTTCCATAATCATTACACTCTGCTATCCTTTTAGTGTGTGTTTTTTAATGTAAACTCTAGCCAAGTCAAACATGTAGTCTTATTTTTCTCCCACCCTTTTCAACATTTAACTTTTTTTAAATCTGAGAATGCATACTGCACACTCATTCCTTTTCTTTTTTTTAGTAAGTGAATACCATTCCATTGTGTAGCTTGTTTATTTAGCTGGTCCACTTTTGTTTGCTGCTTGTCCACTGAGATTTTTTCTTTGGAGTGGCTAATTCTCATTTCTAGACCTTTTCTTTATTCAAATCTGCATTTGGGAGGGGGTGGTACTAGGGGTTGGACTCAGGACTGGATAGACAGCTGCTCTACCACTTGAGCCATTCGACCAGCTCTCAAATCTGCATTTTTTAATGCTGTCTTTTAAAATGTATTCTTTTCACTTTAACATTTTCCTATTGAATCTAAAAATTGTATTTCATAAATTTCTGGGAGGCTATAATCACCCTTTCCTCTTTTGTCACCTCGTGTTCATTTGTGGTAGACTGTTTCCTCAATTGGTTTGTAATTTGGGGGTGTCAAGCTCACTTTCAATAGGGCTACTTATATAGATTCTAAACTTAAATCTTAAAGATGCCACTCTCCATGAAGTGTGTTTGTTTCCACATGCTCCAGGGGCAGAGCTGGTTCAGGGAAGTTCTTGATAGTAATTTTTAAGTTTATGTGTTTCCAGCCACAAACATGTATACATCCAAAATCTAAAGGCATGTGAAGTCATGCTTCTGGGTAAAAAATCTCAGGAGCATCTCTCATCTTTCCCCATCCAGCACCTGGGCCAAAAGAGACAAGCTTCCCCTGGTCTCCTGGGTCAGAGGCCAGACTTTTCCTAGTTTACCTATGTGCAACTCCTAGAAGGGCCCTAGCTTCACAATGATGAATTACTTACCTTACTTTATCCGAGCCTAGTTAAGAGTGCCATATGTGTTGCTTCACATAGTTGTCTCTGGCCACTGGAGAGTACAATTTCTGTATGGTGAGATGATTTGCATCATAATCTTACTCAGCATTTCTAGTTGTTTTGTATTATATGAAATATTTTGTACTTAAAAACATGTATATTAGCCAGGTATTGGTGGCTCATGCCTATAATTCTAGCTACTTGGGAGGCTGAAATCGGGAAGATTGTGGTTCAAGTCCAGCCCAGGAAAATAGTTCATGAGACCCCCATCTCCAAAATAACCAGAGCAAAATGGACTGGAGGTGTGGCTCAAGTGGTAGAGCACCTACTTTGCAAGCATGAAGCTGTGAGTCCAAACTAGTCCCACCAGAAAATAAATAAATAAATAAAAAGTTATGTTTCCCAATTGGGCACAGAACAAAATTTGGTAAAGACCATGGAGTTAGGCACATTAATTTGAATCATAACAGCTCTGCAATCATTGGCACACAATCTATCTCCATTCTGTTTTGTCTCCTGTGAAATGGATAAAACTGATGAGAGGATTATATGATTAAAGCTATAAAATGCTTGGATGGTACCTGAAATATATAAAATACTTTCACTTTTTAGGACTTTCTACAAACTAGAATGCTACTGTTAGGAGCATGGCAAATGTGTCATAGATCTAGTTTTTAAAAGTAGTAATAACAGGAATGTAAAATAGGTCCTGTTAGGGATAGGTTACTAGTGGGAGGGGGAGGGTGAATATGATCAATGGACATTATACACTTAAGTATTTTAAAAATAAAGGTTAAAATGATCAGTGAATCACTAGCTAAGAACAATAAATAATAGAATGTGAGAAAAGCAGTAAGACAAGACTGTAATAACTGGCAAATTTCCCACTTACTTATGTATATAGATAACCATAGTATATCCATGTATATAGATAACCATTCACCTTTCGTGTGAATGGTACTGGGGATCAAACCCAGTGCTTCATGCATACTAGGCAAACATTCAGCCACTGAGCTCCATCCCCAGCCTCATATAGCTGTCTCTTGGTAAACAGATGGTAACATTAGCAAGCTCTGACCACAACTAATTGTGAACACAACATATTTTTTATACAGATAATAAAAGATCACCACATGAAGGATAGGGGTGTAGCTTAGTGGTAGAGTGCTTGCCCAGTGCATGTGTGAGGGCCTGGATTTAATTCTCAGCACTGCAAAAAAAGGAAAAAAAAGTTATCATAGGAAATAAGGTGTTGCTATGGTAGTTAAATGTAAAAAAAGTGGAAGTTAGACACAATATTTTTGTTATAGAACTCTTGTATTTAGGATTATGCCAAAATTAAACAAGCAGACTCAAAAAAAGGTGAGCTGGTCAATTTAAGAATTCCTGTACTGACAAAAGTCAGAAGTCAATAATATAAGAAGAAAAACTAGATAATTAACTTACAACATTAAGTTAAAAATCCCAAAGCTGGGCATAGTAGCACATGTCCATCATCCAAGCTACATGGACAGCCCAGGCAAAAAATGGAGACACTACCTAAAAAATAACTAACTACAGCACAAAGGGGTAGGGAGGTGTGGTTCAAATGGTAGAGTATCTTCCTAGCAAGCACAAGGCCCTGAGTTCAAGTCCCAACACCATCACCAACAACAAAAGAAAAGCAACTGTGTCATTGTCTGATAAATATGATTATACATTAATCAGACATATTTGTGCTTAATTCTTCTAAACTGTTATTGGCTTATAAAACTGTGTTCATTTAATAGACAAAAATGAATATGGCTTATGTGATTGTTAAAATCCCAGTGAATTTTATATTAAAGATAAAGACAAAAGAAAAACACTAACTAAAACTTCTTAAATAGACTAAGGATACTGACAATAAAATTTGGGGATTTTTTCTTTCTTCTTTTAGCAGATTGAAATAGAATAACATGAGATTATTTCTCATTGCTGGTTCCATTCCAAGCCATTCACACCATCATCAACATTTCTCTTCCAGTGTACTTCCTTATAATTACATTATTTTCTTCCTTTTCATTATAGACAAACATTCAAAGGTAAAACTCAAATGTTAAAATAATACTCAAAGCTGGGCATTGTGTTGAGGCCAGCCTATGCTATATATACACAGCAAGATTGAAAACAAACAAAACAAAACAAAAAATACTTTAATAACAGTCACAGAAAAATCAGAATTAAATTTTATTTCACATTGATAGAAACCATGAAAAACACTTACATTTTCCCCATGTTACACACACCACAATATTTCAGCGGAATATTTCTTCATAAATAAGACCTTATACTGATTTGTATAACTGAAATAAGTTTATATTCTTCAAGATAAATGACTTCCTAAATGATCATTTAAAAATTTCAAATCTAGACATAAACATATGGCTTCATTATTAACATCCTATATGCTCCATGACTAAATTGTTTCTATCATCAGTTAGCACCCATTTATAAAGATGCATTCTTAACATTGTTTTGGTCAGTTGGAATACAGTAGGAAAATTAACAGTTCCGAAATACCAAGCACACATTTTTGCTACCTATTAAACTGTGTGGTGACTACAGGATATGTATAGGGTTCTGATTAACCTCTGTTACCCATAAATTTGTTTTCATAATTTTTACCAGAAATGTGACAATTTTGGTTATTTAAAATCAAATAATTGCTATTTTGTTTGTTCAATGGGGCTAATTTTTTAAAAAATCAGTTGACTGAAGTGAAAATTTCAAATAAGTCCATAAGCAGATAAAAATAAAGCAGTATTTTCAAATGGATTGTCCATTTTCTACAGTAGTTGGTTTCAAATATATGTACAGAAAAAGTAAACTTAAACTCTATGCTACAAAGAGAACCAATCATTTTACAAATTTATTTTTAATATCAGTCTTAAATATTTCTGAACATACTACACTATGATCTAACTATTCTTTCATTTGCCTATAGGAAAATAAAACCACATAATTATTCTTACTATCTGGATTGAAGATCCTAGTAACTAAATAGGTCTAGTTTTAGACTAAGGGACTGTCATTTGAAATATGTAGCATAGGAAGTTTAATGTTTGATGTCTTTTATACTGTACATAGATTTTAATTACCATTTGCTTGTGATTCAGAGTATGAAATTACAGCATGTAGTAATAATAGATGTCTATGGCAGGGAGGCAATATTTGGTCTGCTATGAAGGACATTCAAGAAGAAAAGAAAATATTTTCTCTTGAGAAAAGAATATTAAATAGAAATAATATCAGGGGAAAGAAAAGCCTAGTCCATCAAATAAAAGGGCCATTAATTCAAGAGAGCAATATTACTCTTTTCTGACATTTAAAAGCATTATTCCTGGTATTAGGAATAATGTAATACTATCTAATTGTTATGTATTATAATCATTTTGTATATATGAATTCATATATAAAAATACAGACATAGTGACTAAGCAACTGTAGAACAAATCCATAGACTAAGTCACAGTATTAATAAATCATTTATATTTTAACTGCATGTTTATAACTGAACTTATTTTCATTAAGCATACTAGTAATTTTCAAGTCATGTAATAAAAATTCTGGTTGCAGTATTTTATTATTTTGCTGACTTACAATTGAGAAAAGCAGCTAGCTGCTTCACTTATTTTAATACTAGGTATTCTTGACCTTCTTATACAAATACATGTATAGAAACTTAAAAGATCATAAATTTCCTATGAGGAGACATCATTTAGTCTGTATCATGTGTATTTGCAAAACACTTTTAACACCGCAAACATTACAAGTTTTAAGGTCAGGCATGTTTACTACAGGGATGCTGGTGTACTTCTACACAAGGCCTCTCAGTGACGTCAGTCAATTGGAGGTAGGAGTTTATCAATGAATTGCTTGACATCCATCATTTCCTGTTTCGAAAAAGTAACTTCATAAGCAGATACTTAAGTCAGAAATTACAATCCCCACAAAAATGCCATTAAGGAAATTCAGTGTGGTGTGTATAGGTAAAATGGAAGTACATTTTTACTACTATAAAACAGGCATAGAAGAAAAATGAGGGCTAGGACGTGGCTCAGTGGTAGAGTGCTTGCCGACTATGTGCAAGGCCCTGGGCTCCTTCCCCAGAAAACAACAAAAAAAGAAAGAAAAGAGCAATGACATTTCATCATATTCCCTGTGATGATTACTTACACTAAGATGATAATGGTTTGTATTTCTTTTTTTTTTTTTTCAGTACTGGAGTCTGAACTGAGGGCTTGCATCTACCACTTCAACCATGCCTCCAGCCCTATTTTCTGATTCTCAAAAAATAAACAAACACTGGTGAGTGAGGAATTTTAGCAGGGACCAAGAAGTCTCAGTAAGTGTATAATTAATGACAACTAAATATCAGTGAAAAAGCTTGGCTTTTACTATTCCTTCATTAGAATAAAATACTAAATCCATAGCATTAACACTATTTTGTGCTTTTCATAAGGAATTACATAGAACTAACCATTTGAAAGGAAGCATGTACCTAAGATAAGTCTAGAAAGATAACAAGCATAAATACAGCAAGGATTTATTAGAGAAGAAACTTCTCCAGGAAGCCTCCTATGTCTGGCTCAGTTTTCCCACCTCCCTCAAACCCAGTTTCAGCTCTTGTTATTTCCAGGCCTTGGCCTCATCAGTTCTGTTCTCTATGCAAAGAACTTTTGACCTTAGTTCTAGTCATTCAGAATTATTTCACTACTCCCAGAAGCTTCTGATACCTCCCTGTACTACTGCTCTTGCTCCTTCTATGCAGTGTCCTCAAATGCAATTGCACAGCACTCATCTACATGCGAGAGACTCTGTGCTCTAAACCCTCAGTCCCCACTGAGTACATTCAGGTTGCCAGCCCCTCCCTCATTTGGATTCAGTACTTCATTTCACAGGACATTACTGTAGGATCACTGGCCCCTTGTCTTTCTGGATAAATCATATCACTTTTTACTTCTTCTGTCCCTAAAGCAACCAATTTAACCAGGCTGAGTGGATGTACGTAATGTTAGCTTGCGCTACTTTACTGCTTAGCAATCTACTTTTATTCCAGGTCTTTTATAGGTTCTAAACCTATTCAGGCCTTCTTCACTCTTATCAAATGACCATGGCTCCTATTTTACTGAAAACATAAAGAACATCTAATGTAAACTCCCAAGAGGTCTCTTGACTCTCCTCTTTATATTCATCCATCAAAAATGTTTTCTCTGTGTAGCACAACCCATCTATGGTCTTAATTTTATCCTATGATCTCTTTAAGATTTCCCCTCCCTTCCTCCTTTCCTTCCTTCCTTTCTCCTTGGTATGGGGGAATGCACTGATCAGGTCCTCGAGCTTGCAAGGCAAGCACTCTACTCCTTGAACTTTGTCCCCAGTTCTCTTGCTTTTAGTTTGGTTTTCAGATAGTATTTTTTACTTTTGCCCTGGCTGATCTTGAACCTCAGTCCTCATACTTCTGCCTTCTGAGTAGCTGGGGATTAGGGCATGCATCACTATGCCTATCCATATCTTTTTTTTTTGGTGGTGGTACTGGGGTTTGAACTCAGGGTCTCACACTTGCTAGGAAGGCACTCTTACCACTTCAGCCACTACACCAGCAATATCTGTTTTTTGATGATAATGTTCTACCAAATTAATCCTTCTCTGATCAATAGTAGTAGCAATTATTCCACATCTTCACTTATAAACCTGAGCTTCAGACCAGTGTTTTCAATATCCTATTTTGATACCATGGTGGGGTATATGAATCTCAATACATTCATACACTCAGGATTATTCTCTTTCTGTTATTCTAAAAACTCTTCCTTGTACCTACTTTGCATCTTTTTCATCATCTGAGCTAGATATCTGAGTTGTCTTTGATATGTCCTTCTTTCCTACCCATAGTATTAACCTATAGATCCTACTGGATTCTGGGTTACCTGGTTCCAAAATGTAAATTAGATCCCATGTCACTTCAAGTAAAAACAGATGGGTTCCTACTGCCCGGAGAACAATTTTCTCCTCAGCACATGAAAGCTTCTACAACAGAGTCCTTGTTCCTTATGTCTTCTGTCCTATGACACCTAGCTTTTTATTAAGACCCCAACCAAAATAGACAGTTTACTTTTCCTGCCCTATAGTACCTTACCTGCATACCTACTACCCAGTGCCTACTATTCTCTAAAATTTAGCTTTCATCATTATCTCAGTGCCTTCTAAGATATAATTAATACCACTACTCTTGCTTTTCCAGGACACTTTTCAAAAACTGCTAATGCAATACATATCACATTCTGCTTTCTCTAATGTTACCTGGATATACACCTTTCCTCTCTATTAAATTTCAATTAATCTACCTTAAATTTTAATGAGTAAAAGGTACTATTTATTATTCTTCTTTGAATTATGTAAAGCTTATGTATAACAGGACATCAAATATTTATTTAATCTAACTGAATAAACTTTCATTAAAAGACTGCTACCTGTGATTTGATATGAATTCATTAATTAACTCCTTTAAATTCCCAGTCAAATGTTACCTATCTTGAAAATATCACATGGATGAAACTGAAGCTGTAGCTCTGATCACAGCTTCCAGACACCTACCTGTTGACATGAACTGTGCATCATGCCTTCATAGATTTTGAAGCTGACATTGGCTGGATTTACCAATGCTTTTAGTTTTTCAACAGTAAGAGAACCAAACATTAGGGGAACTAAAGGATCACAATCTCCATGGCACTGGAGAATGGAAATATCTCTATTAGTGCCACTGATAGGACCCTGCAAAAAAAAGAAAGAAGTATTTATTTAAATATATAAAGCATCATGCCAGATATTTAAAACTATAGATAGATACACACGTATAACAGGTTATTATTTACATTTCAGGTTACATTTGGCCAAACAAAATGTCTTCCATCCCTATACCCCCCCAATCCCTTTACTTAAAACTTCTCCAGGATGCATGATTATCTTGCCTTATATTACAATACATGTGTTCCCAATGAATTAGTTTCTTAAAGCCACTTACACCTTAATTCATCTTTGTATTTCCAGTGTCTGAAATAATGTCCACAGCTCCCATGTATACTTTATGCTGAATATTTAGTAATTATATCCTATGATAAAATTCTGCTATCAAATCTTGAACACATTAAACATTTAAAATTTTCTATGAATTAAAAGTCCTAATTTTCATGCATATCCTAAAATGTATCAAATCTTCAACTGTAAGATTTATGACAATAAGGCTTATTTCTTATTCCATTCTATGTAATCTGTGGCAAAGACATTATGGTATACAGATAAAGCCTAGTAATGTATCACAAAAAGGTGTAAGGAAATTTTTTCTACAATAGGATGACTGATGTAATAATGATATGTCAGTGTAGGTACACCAGTTGTAACAAAGTTCACAACTTTGTTACACAGTGGTGTAAGATGTTCACAGTGGGGGGAGGCTGTGCTTGTGTGGGGATAGGGGGATAGGGGAACCTACTTTCCAATCAATTTTGCTATACACCTAAAGCTGCTCTTGAAAAACTAAAGTTTAGCCAGGCACCAGTGGCTCATATCTGTAATCCTAGCTACTCAGGAGGCAGAGATCAGGAGGACTGCAGTTTGAAGCCAATCCAAATAAATAATTTGCAAGACTCTATCTCAAAAACACTCAACACAAAAAAGGGCTTGCAGAGTGGCCCAAGTGGTAGAATGCCTAAGTACCAAATGTGAGGCCCTAAGGCCAAACTACAGTACTGCCAAAAAAAAAAGTTTATTAATTAAAATACAAAGGATGACTTTCTCCCCAACATCCTCTGTGATCTCATGGGTACCTGTGGAAAGGAAGTCCGAAGTGGAAGCCAGCAACTGAGTGCAGTGACGCCTGCCAGTTTCTGCTGTGTGGTGAGAGCAGTGTATAAAGATAAAGCTCCTCCCTGGAAAGAGAGCAGAGTCACTGGAACACACATTCTGCCAACAGCACATGAGAGATTTCATTTTATGAATGATGCCTATACAAAAACAAACTGGGTGGCTAATGCTGAATCAATTCAGACAGAGTGGAAACATATACTCATAAAGGACATGGTTCTCAGCCCCAAAGGGAACATACCAAGCACCTGATCCATCAAGACAGTTAACAGCAAACTGTTGCACTTACATTGTGCCTTAAGAATATTCTGAATTTACAGTCATCATTGTCTTCTCTGAAAAGTCTTAGACATGAAATCCAATCTAGTCTGCAATTATGTTATTGTCTAAAACTGGAATTCAAGATGATAAGGACTATATTCAGACACTGTTAAGAGTATCTGCTCCTCAGCTGGCCACACCTGTGTCCTAGGAACTACATTCTTGTTAACTATCTAGACGCCCTGTCTTTCTGACCATGCTGTGACTCATGGCTCCACAGGGGAAATGAGGGTCTTTCTCATTTTAGACGGTGATGTTCTTTCTCCCAGGGCTGTGGAGTTGGGATTCAGTGACTACCAGGAGTGTCTTTGTGTAGCTGGAATGGCAACATGTAGACTCAAGAACTGGAAAAATTACACCTTGCAAAAGTTGACATGACTAACAGGTGATAGAGAGGAAAAAGAAACAAGATGAGCAGACAATAAGAAATAAAGATGGAGAGAAAGTGTCATTGGCTTTCCAAGTCCTAGCTATTTCCTGAACCCTTGCTTGTTCATTTACAGTTTCCTTGATATGATGCCACAGACTGATAACTTGCTCTTTTATTCCTTAAGGTAGTAGGAATGGATGAATCTTAAATAATAAGACTCCTATGTATATTTCTTATTTTGAATCAAGTAATTATTTCTGTCCCTATGTTTATATCAAGGTATGTGCTATTACATTATTTTAATGAACATCAAATCAATAATACCTTATTACTATATTGTCTTAAAAATGTATCTTTCTATTGAATTGTAATCTCTGAATGACTCCAGAACTCTGATATTTCCCTAAATTATTGATTTAGGCAATTTTGACATCAGAAGTAGAGTATTCTGGGGACGGGTTACATGGGAACAGTGAAAAGGTGAAGAAACAATGTAAGGTCAATACAAGGAAATTGGCTGCTAAAAAAGTATAGACGATTAGAGAAAAAATTTAGAAAGGAAGGAAGATGCTAGTGTAAACATCACATGCTTATAACTGAAATTATTTTACTGACCAAAAAGGGAAAGAAATTCTCTCTTACCTTCTACTATACTGTTGCTACTAGTAGCCTCCTTCTAGAACAGGGAACCTATGCCTGTATTACTCTTTAATTAAAAGGGTACATGCTGTTAACTTAGAAACTTAACTAGAGTGTTTTGTAGTTATTTTAAGAAAATACATTCCAGATGCCAAGTGCAGTGCTGATGTGTAATACAAGCTACTTGGGAAGGAAAGATCAGGAGGTTTGTGGTTTGAGGCTGGCCCAAGCAAAAAGTTTTTGAGACCCCCATCTCAACCAATAAAAGCTGCATGTGGTGGCATGCATCTATCATCCCAGCTAAGTGAAATAGGAAGACCACTGTTCAATGTAAATGCAAGACTCTGTTTGAAAAATAACTGAAGCAAAAAGGGATAGGGGCGTGGCTCTAGCAAGTGTGAGGCCCTGAGTTAAACCCCAATACCACCAAAAATAAAATACATTCCAGGTTCCAATCAGTTACTTAATAACTTTATTTTTGAAGGTAAAGGATAATGTTAAGGAGATAGAAAACTAGAAAACAAGAAATTAATTAGTTCTAGTCCAATCAAACTTAGTTCAGCTCTATCTGCCAAGATTCTGTACATCTTATAAAAAAGATCGTAACCAGACTTTTAGATAAATATTCTGATAGTACTAACATCCTACTCAAACTATCTTACCTGAGAAAATCCTCCCAAAATAATTCTGTTAGAAGGAATGCCATTCTTCACCTCTTGATCTATTAAAGCTTTTACTAAAAAAACAAGAAATTACAAATACTTTCAAAGTTCAGTTCACTGATACAATTAACAATAGGAAAAAAATAACAAGCACAAAGCATACTCAAGATGGAAGTGGGTGAAAAACATGAAATATTCCATTAAACTATAAATTAAATGTATTTTCATTATAAAACTCAGATTTTGCAGGTGCTTAATATTTCAATAACTTATTGTCATATGTTATAATGGCAATTCTTTTATCAAGAGATAAATATTCTTTTATTTATGGTTAGTTCTACTCATGTACACTTTGTATTTCTCTTTTCAATAAACCATAGGGCATTTTTACTGTAATACGTTGTCATTTTAAAATAGTATGTACTTAAATACATGTGATGACTCATGACTTATGCTGCTTAAAATTGTTAAGTTTTTGACTATCATCAATAACACAAACAACAACAAATGCTAGCAAGTATGTGGGGAGAAAGGAACAGTTCTACACAGTAAAAATGTACTGCAACCACTATGGAAAGCAATATAGAGGTCTCTGAAAAAAACTAAAAATAGAACTACCACAGGATAGCACTCCTAGGCATATATTCGAAAGAATGTACTCCAGAGTATAATACAGCCACTTGCACACCCATGTTTATTGTAGCACTTTACATAGCCAAGCTTCGGAAGCAGCCCAGATGCCCCACAGCTGATGAACAGATTAAGAAAATGTGATATACATACACAATGAAGTTTTATTCAGCCATAAAGAAGAATGAAACTATGTTGTTTGCAGGTAAATGGATAGAACTGGAGAACTTCATGTTAAGTGAAGCAAGCCAGGCTCAAAAAAATCAAAGGTCACAAGTTTTTCCTCATACGTGGAAGCTAGACCTATAAGTTAAATGTATATATAGAAACATATATATATATATATACACACACACACACACACACATATATATATATATATATATATATATATATATATATATATATATATAGTGACAGAGGGGAAAAAATTGTATTAGTGAACCTAGTTTGGGGGCTTTGGGAGGTGGGAGAAAGACAATGTTAGAGAATGAAAAATATTAAAACAAGCCATCTATATATGAATATAATATAATACACTGTACAATAAGCTATTGAATATTAGGGAGCATGGTGATAGAGAATGCATAAGTAATGGAGGGGAGGAGGATAATTTAATAAAAGCACGATTATACAGATCTGAAGTACCAAGGTGAAACCTCCTTGGACTATCAATATATACTTAATTTTTTAAAATGAAGGCAAGAGGAAAAAATAAATCTTTTCCTGTGGAGAGCACCAGTGGAAGAGGGGTGGGCACAAGGAAAGGGGGAATGAGGGTGAGTATGGCAGATGTATTTTGTATTTGTATATGAAAATAGAAAAATGAGTCCTGTTGAAATTGTTCTAAGAAGAGGTGAGGGGTGAGGGAGGACGAAAGAGAACGATGGAGGGAATAAATCTAATTTTGTAAGCACTTATGTAAATACCACAATGTATTCCTCTGTACAACTATTATATACAAATAAAATCATACAAAATCCTTTATTTTAAAAAATCACAATGGTTTTTTTCCTAGAGCCTAAGTTAGTAGAGTTCTGTTTAATTAAAAATAATAAATGATAGAGGGAGAATTTCAAATGAGTATTTTTATTTATACAAAATAATATAATGACACACTCCATATAAGCATAACTATCTTGATAACTCCTAGCTTTTTCTTTTTCCTTATTAACAGTTCTAATGTTTTTAGAATAACTGCACATTTTACAAATTTTTCTAATTTTTTTTAGTTGTTTTTTGTTTTTTGAGACAGGGTCACTAGCTGTGTAACCTAGGTTGGCTTCAAACTTGTGAGCCTACCAAGTGCTGGGACTGCCAGTTTGAACAACCCACACCAGCTTTACGTTTGTACATACCTGCAAAGTTTCAATTTTTTGAGATTAAAAGCTTCAATTTTTGTTTCCTTTCATAAAATAGAAAAAAACCCCACAAAAAGCCTGTTTTTATGAAAACACTACAAATCTAGGCAGCATGTTGGTGCATACATTTGGAAGGCTGAGGCAGGAGGACTGACTTCGAGGCCAGACCAGGCTACCCAGTAAGATCCTGTCTCAAAAATAAGGCTGGGTGCTGGTGGCTCACACTTGCAATCTTAGCTACTCAGGAGGTAGAGATCAGGAGGATCACAGTTCAAAGCAGCCCAGGCAAAGGCACTGAGTTCCAGCCTCAGTACCACAAAATAAAAACAAACAAATCAAAAACAGCCAGGTGAACTGGCTTACATATGTAATTCCAGCTACTTGGAAGGCAGGTAAGTCATAGTTCAAGGCCAGTTCTGGCAACAAGTAATGAGACCCTACTGCAACTAGGTGATGCACACCTGTCATCTCTACACGGGGAAGCTTACACAGGAGGATCATGGTCCATACTCATCCAGGCATAAACATAACATATCCCCAAAATAACTAAAGCAAAAAAGGGACTGAGAATGTGGTTCAAGTGGCAGAGTGCCTACCTGGTAAGCGCAAGGCACTGAGTTCAAACCCTAGTACCACCAAAACAAAAAAAAAAAATACCCCCGACAAAAAAAAAAAAAATACAAAAAATACCCAAATTAAAAGTTTCTGGGGGGCAGTAGGGTTTGAACTTGGCTTTGCACTCTGAGGCACTCTATCACTTGATCCATATGTTCAGTCCTGTTTTTGGTTTATATAAAATTTAGTTCTTAGTTAGGGCATAGTTTCATGGCTCATATACAACACATGACTAGTGAGTGCAAGGCCCTGAGGCCTGAATTCAAACCCCAATACTGACAAAGTGGGGGAGAGGGAGACAGGAAAGGAGGCTTAAGAAATAAAAAGAACCATGGAGAAGTATCTTCAGCAGAAGTTGGAGATTAGAAGATGCAGAAAGGGAAACAACAGCCTGGCTACAGGAGAAAGGAGGATATCTGTGGTGGGAAATGGGGAGCATGACTGCCAACCAGACAGGGAGCAGTCAGGGCCAATTCTCTGCAGTTTCACAAAGTTTTTTTCCCTACAGTTACACAGCTGCTTAGCTGAAGACATTTTAGCAAACTACAATGGCAGCAGCCACTTGTGGAGCAGTGCTCCACCTAAGAGGAAGGGTATAATGTACTTCCGAGGACCTCTCTCTCTCCTTTGTTCTTTGAACTTTCTTTCCTAGCTCTCAATGTGATCCTCATTCTCCTCACTATTCATTTTGGAGAGGAAAGAAAGGACAAGTATTTTATAGACCAAGTGTACAGTTAGGAAAAAGTTTTTCATCCTGGAACTCACTTAGGCCCACCTGTCCTCTCCATAGGGCCTCTTCTGACTTCCACATGGTCTAATACGTCCTTCTCATTCCTGAGCATGTATTTTCTTTTTTTTATTTATTAGCATATAATAGGCGTACATGGGGATACATTGCAATATTTACATTTGTACTTACAATATACCTTAGTATATATCTCAGTACAGATTTACCCACTCTGTTGTTCTCTCTCCCTCACCCCTTCTTAGAACAATTTCAACAGTTTCATTCTTCTATTTTCATATATGAATACAAAATACATCCACCTTATGTACCCTCGTTCACCCTTTCCTTAGGCTCACCCACCTCCCACTGGTACCCGCAGAAAAGACTTATTTTACCCTACTGACCTTCTTTCTTTTTTTAAAGTGTACTTTGATACACACTTCAGGCCTGTATATGTAGTGCTTTAATCAAACCAACCCCCCCATTACTTACTCTTTCTCTATCACCTGCTCCCCTAATATTCAACAGCTCACAGTGCATTGTATTACATTCATATATAGATGGGTTCCTTCAATATTTTCCATTCTCTAACATTTTCTTTACCTCTCCTGCTTCCCATAGTCCCCTCAGACAGACCCACTAATACATTTCTGTCCTCTTCTCACTATATATTCATGTGTATATGTATATATGTGTGTATATAAATACATATACATATGATCACATATGTATCTCTATGTACATTTAATTAATAGGTCTAGCTTCCCCATATGAGGAAAAACACGTGACCTTTGACTTTTTGAGCCTGGTTTACTTAACATGAAGTTCTCCAGTTCCATCCATTCACCTGCAAACAACATAATTTCATTCTTCTTTATGGCAAGATAATATTCCTTTGTGTATATATGTCACATTTTCTTAATCCAGTCATCAGTTGCTGGGCATCTGGGCTGCTTCCAAAGCTTAGCTACCATAAACAGCTGAGCATATGTTTGTCATCTATTATTTTTACACAAAATCTCACCTCTGGGATCCTAGCTTTGATCTGGTTTTTTTGGTTTGTTTATTTGTTTGTTTTGGTGGTTCTGGGGTTTGAATTCAGGGCCTCATGCTTGCTAGGCAGGGCACTTGATCTATATTTTGGTGATCCAGAAAGTCAGTATTCATGGTTTGACATTCCTAAATATGCATTGTCTTTTCTCTAGTATCTCACTAGGTCTTGGGTTTTAAACTATATTGGAAAGTTTCAAACAAATATAAAAGTAGAGCAGTGTAATGACTCTTTGCATACACAGCACCTGATCAGTTCCTAGCCAGGCTTGTTTCACGATGCTGTACACACCCACAAGTCACCATCAAGATCATTCCAAAGTCTGTTCCAGTCACTGCACACTTCTATTTGTAAATATTTGGGTACATATAAAAGAAAAGGATGCTTCTGTACATTTTTTAAAAAACGACATTATCTCTCAGTGACTTAATGTTTTCCATGCTTTCGCCCACAAAACAAGCCAAGTTATCATGCATATTTAATAAGGAGAATGGAATAATAATCAGAGAACAGACTTCGGTGTTTCTATAAAACATAACTAATACTTCACAGGGATGTTAAATGGGACAATTAATAAGAAACCACCTTGTAAGTAGTTAGGCATCTCATCACTGGTATGCATTATTATTAACACACTAAAATTAACCATTAATGTCACTTTCATTGTTTATTATCCTTACATCATTATATTCTTTGTATCACCATTTTTGTCATTTCTTCACATTTCCTGAATGAAGATAACTGTCCATGACTATTAAATAATGTGTTATTTTCTTCATTTGCCTATGTAAACCAAAGCAAAATTCTTATGCATCTGACAGAGATGAAATTGATAAATGCTATTCATTTCTCTCCACCTCACCTTCACTGACCACAGACATATGGACATGGTGACACACAAGTTATGAGAAGGATCAGAAAGAAAGGAAAGGGCTGGGGCTGTGACTCAGTGGTAGAGCGCTTCCTAGCATTCATAAGGCCCTGGGTTCGATCCCTAGCAAAAAACAAAAACAAAAACCAACCAGCAAATCAACCCACAAACAAGACATGAAGGTAGAGGTATGGTTCAAGCAGTAGAGCACCTGCCTAGCAAGCATGACAGGCCTGCCTGAGTTCTAACCTCAGTATCACACACACAAAAAAGTAACAAAACATGAAAAAAAGAAAGGTAGAAGATAGCATTACCTGTTGAGATAACATACCTGTCATATTGAATCAGAATCAATTTAACTACTGTATCTTCTAAAAACATTTATGAATGCTTTTCCTTTATAAACATTTTCTGTACTTACCATTTTCTGCTGCCTGTTTAATTCCAGATTCGTCCTCCTGGGACTCTGGTGAAAGTCCAATAATATCAAACCTAAAACCAAAGGCCAAATCTTAAAGGACCCATTTGATTCTAAGAGTCTATTCTTGGTAAGCATGTTTTACTAAGCTCATGGTAGTCTGGATAAAAAGCACTAATCAGAGATTCTGTCTAGAACATGAACATCAAAATGTCTAGAGGCCATACAATTAAACTAAACACAAATCTGACATTCTGTATGTTCCTTTTACACCAATTAGATACAGATTCTAATGTTAAAAAGTCAGTGTCATGCAATTTTGGTGTAAGAAAAGCTTAAAAAATTACTTAGTCTAATTTCACACTCATATAGGAATTTCCACCCTTAATCCTGAAAACTCAATTGGCCTGAAAACTCTGAAATAGCAGGTAGTCATTTCCTCTTCTATTGTATCCTAAGCCAATTCAGTAGAATAGTTACTTCAAGTCTATCAAGCACAGATTTATACTGATTGCTAACTATATTCTGCAAACCTTTTTCATTATGTGTTATAGCATCAAACCAAAAACCAAGAGAAGCTTTTCTTTGGCCCTTTCTACTTCTAGTCAAAATTTTAGTTCAGGGAATGGGAACTTTCCAGATAAAAAAGATGAAAGAACTAAAGATATGGGTGGGTAAAAACATAAAGTTGCCAAGGAATCCAAAGTGTATTTAAAAAAAAGTGGGGGTGGGGTGGATGGTGTGAACAAGAAGACAACAGACTGGAGGTCTGATGTGGTCTCAAAATGAACTATGTGGAAACAGAGAAGCAAACTAAAAGGATGTGCAATTATTATGTTTGCTTAGTCAGGTCTCAATTACACGATCAGGGTTGGGACAGGTCCAGATGACAAGACCCAAGGAATGGCTGGATGACTAAAACTGAGAAAAGAAAAAAGTGTCCCTGAGGATGAGAATGGTGAAGAAAGTAGCAAGCTAGTCATTGTGTAGATGGACCATTTACATTGTATCCTGTGGTCCAATAAAGCAGTAAAAAAGTAGCAGCAACTGGAGGGGAAAGGAAAATACAAATCAGGCGTCAAAGTCATAATTTTCTGAAATACTGATGGCAGCAGTCTCAGAAAGCGATGAGAAGAAATTACAATCTGAAAGTGACACAGAGGAATGAGAAGCTAACCCTACCTCCTGACCATGAAGTGCACAAGGAATGTGAGAATATCTTGAAAGAACTTAAAGGGAAGCAATTTCCTTAAAAACAGTCAGCTCTCCAGGAAGGTAAGAAGTTAGAGGAATAAAGAGACTGTGACTTAATGGGAATGAATGCCACATGGGATAATTCAAATATTTAGTTACTGAAATCAATAAAAGTGTATCAAGCAGTATGAGATATTTTCCCCCAATACTTCTATTTATTCATTCTCTCTTGTTACTTTACCTGTTTGTACAGCCCCTTAAGTTTGCCCATAATCTAAAGCATGAAAACTTTAAGGTTAAATTTAAGGGTAATTATGTAATTTTGCAATTTAAAAATAGCTATATAAAAATGGTTTGACAAAAAAGCATTTCTGATAAAAGACTAAGAAGTTCTTAAAGAATAAATAAATTCTTACTTACCAAGAAGGCATAGCCATATTCATATTTAATGTAACAGGCATTACTGGCCTACATGGGAAAGAAAAAACAACAAAATAAGAATAACAAAGAAAAAACCTGCTGAATTCCATCAGGTAAACATAGATCATCATTTGAGGCTCACACAAAACTGCACGGTACAATTCTAACGTGTTTTATACACCTGGACATTCTATTCTTTACCCCACCAACTATTTTCTAAAGATGGAGCTGCAGCTGTAAAGAACTCAGCTTGGCAAATAATCTTTTCCCCCTTTCTTAACACCTTTACTTAAATACTTGAAACTCCTCAATATGAGAAGGGAAAACTGGGAACCGAGATAAAAGAATTTTTCTGGCTTTAAGTTCAACTAACCTCTAAGAAGCAATATTTAAATTCTTCAAAAACAGAAAAAGGTAATTTTTTTCAATTTAATCAATAGACTATTTTAGTTTTAAGGAGTTCTAACTGTTATTTTTAAACTTAATATCTGAAAGATAAAAATTAATTATATTCAACTGCTTTTCTGGAAAAGTAAAGCTATCACAATCTGTTCCCCACCCCACTCCCACCAGATTCAGAATCACAAACCTAAAGATGAGAAATACTCACGCATGTGGGCAGATATATTTGATATGTGAACTTCTGATACCTGCAAAGGCTTCGGCCCATCCGTGCCTGGTGGAAAAATTATTTGAATAATGCTATTAGATACTGTTTTATATTAGTAAAAGAATAAGGATAAATGCTAGCTTATTAAGATATCTTAAAAGGGTGGACAATCAGTGCCACTAAACTATACCATGGACCTGGAAACAACCCAAATAGTTGTTATTGATGTTTACCTACAGATAAGATGATCTCTCAGGATTTCTGAATAATAATATGTGTGCTCCTTCATCATTTCCACTGCACTACATAATTTTCAAAATATACTTGGATATTTTTATCCCTTTATCCCTTTAGTAGGCAAGACAGAGAATGTAATTCATATTTTAAATGAAAAAAACTAAGCCTGAGAGTAATAAAGTAAATCCATTTTCTAATATATCTGCATGCTTACATTATTAAAACTTTAATTAATATCCTTGGTTATATATTCAAAAATCTATACAAATACTGAAAAAATATAAATTATCATAATTCATCTAGCCAGAAATAAACAGTTAATCTTTTTATCAATTTTCTTCTGATTTTTTCTCATAGGTATCAATTAAGAAATAAGGGCTAGAGATCTCACTCAGTGTTTACGTAAAGCACTTGCCTAGCAAGGCCTGAATTCTATCCCTGGGCACCATAAAAAAAAAAAAAAAAGACAGAGCAACAGAGAGAAATAGAGAACAGACTTGACAAAAATGGGATCATCCTGCACAGTTTCTTGCTTAATTACACTTGATGTTATACCTGATGCTGTTTTACAAGTTACCTCTACTAAAGGATTAAGTAGAAGTAATTTAGGCCTTTCTTTTGTAAACCTATATGAACATGAATGTTAAATACTTTTAACTATTTTTCAGTTTTAATCCACTTCCTCAACACTTGTACTGCAAGTAGTACAATAAGCAACGTTATGCAGTGTTGATGAGTACCCAGCATGCATCCAGGTCAGAAATTATCAAGCAATCAAGACATTCTTTGCCTCAGAGCAAAGATGAACATTTACAGAATATAACAGATACTTAGAAACTGCTTTTGCTAGAATCAGTGACTTGTCATTGGGCCTGCAAATGTGCAAAGGGTAAATAAAAACAGCATCTCTGCTTCCACTTTGCATCTGAGTCCTCTGTTCTGATCCATTGTCTTCTGAAGTCACTTTTGATTCTAAACAGGCCTGATGGATAAACATCTTGTAACATGAATTGAAACTACCCCCTAGACAACATGACTTTCTTACTGGGTCTCCCTAACCATCCTGAGATCATTAACCAGACCACACTTCTGGTCACTGAACCATACCGTTGACTGGGTCTGTTTAATAATTATACATACTTCTTCCCCCCACCCCAGTTCTTCCTCTATTTAAACCTAATGCTCATGTCTGGACGCTGGAAGATGGGCTGAAGTGCTTATTCTGCCTCTTCCTGAGTATCCATGCAACATAATAAATCTCCTTTCTCTGCCCTTCACCACTGCTCCTCTTTATTTGGTGTATTGTGTTGAGAGGCGGGACCTGACATGTGGAACTCCTGGAATTAGGCCTTTGGCCTAGAATTCTGGCCACATGAACTTCCACAGTGATCTAAGCAGCATTTAAAATACGAAACCTGTAATGTGAGTCAATGCCCTGTATAGCTATCCTTATCTCAACCAGCAAAACCCCTTGTTCCTTCCTATTAATGCTTATACTGTCTCTACAACAAAATTAGAGATAAGGGGAAAATAGTTTCTGCTGGGTATTGGGGGGGGAGCAGGAGGGGTGGAGTGGGTGGTAAGGGAGGGGGTGGGGGCAGGGGGAGAAATGAACCAAGCCTTGTATGCACATATGAATAATAAAAGGAAAAAAAAAAAAAAGAAATACTAAAAAGTAAAAAAAATTAAATAAATAAAATACGAAACCTGTCAGGTACATAGGAGCTCACAGCTGTAATCCCACCACTCAGGAAGCTAAGGCAGGAAGATTATAAGTTTGATGCCAGCCTGGACTACATAGTAAGACTCTATCTCAAAAAACCAAAAATGAATGAATGAATGAATGAATGAATTATGAAACCTATCTATTACCCTTACAAAAGAGAACAATATAGCACATTATAAAAGGTTCTTGCCATGGTCATTGCCATTGCTGACTTTATATATGCTGTTTCAGTTTTTTTAATTTCTAAGTATATCATTAGTATATTTTCCATTTCAGGATTTGTGCTAACGACCTCAGGGATAACTAAATAAGCCCTAAACTCATGGTATTACTTCAGCTAATTATAGCTTTGGGAATGTATGGCCACTGGAAAAAAAAATCACATTTAGAAAAACAATTGTCCACTTATTAAGAGTCTAAATAGAACTTAGGTTCAATTATATTCCTCAAAACATTACTACATATAATAAACGCCTGACTTAGCATGACCAAAACGGGACAGCCACGTACGCAGTTGAAATATTTTATTAAAAAAAAAAAAAAAAACAAAAAAAACTTTGGAGAGACAAGTGGTTGACCTGCAGTGTGTGTAAGTAAGTAAGTAAGTAAAGCAAGACCAGCTAGCATGGATGACAGACTTACTTCCTTATATTTTACAAAGTAAAGCCACTTTATCTAGTTTGAGAAGTGATGACTTAAATCTATGATGACTAGCCAGAGTAAGAGAAATCTTTAAGTTTAATGTTAATTTTAGAATTGTTCTCAACACATAAAACTTTGGCCACTTTCTTCAGACTAAAGGATTCTAGGACTCTACACTCTAGGATTTTACCAGCTTTTTAAATTCTTATGACCTTGTAGTTCATAATATGCACATATACATCTAAGAATAAAAAAGCTGGGGTCCACTGTCATAAAGTGCAAATGCCTATGGGTACACAATGCAGTTTAGGGGCCTTTGGGTTACTCACTAGCTGCTGGCCCAATTTGAGGCTGTGGAAGAGTTGTCTTTCAATTATTCAATCTAAACATATGTATAACTGCAGCACTGATTCATGTTAAATCTTAAGTATTCATGATTCTATATCCCTCTGTGCCCACAAATTATTAGCACTAATTACTCATTTCTATTTTAGGCTCTTTTGTAAGCTATACTGCTATTCTTAATTAATTTGTGTTTTAACTACATAAACCACTGTTTTTCCCCCAAAATATTTAGTCAACAGCTCTAGCCTAGTGGACACCTCCCAAAATAACTTTCTAATAACAGAAGAAAAAAAAACTAGGAATTTTGGGGGTGGGCAGGTAGTACTGAGACTTGAACTCAGGGCCTTGCATTCACCAGGCAGGCATTCTACCAACGGAGCCATACCCCAGTCCTTTTTTGCTTTAGCTATTTTTCAGGTACGGTCTTGGTTAGAGCCAGCCTCAGACTTTGATTCACCTATCCTTTACCTCCTATACAATAGGGATTACAGCCATCTACCACCATGTCTGATTTATTGACTGAGATGGGGAGGGTCTCATTTTTTGCCTAGGCTAGCCCTGGTTTAAGATTCTCCTGATCTCAGCCCCCAGAGTAACTGGGATTATTGGCATGAGCCATCCAATGAAAATTAACTTTTTTTTTTTTTTTTTTTTTGCAGTACTGGGGTTTGAATTCAGGCTTGACATGTGCTAGGCAAGCATTCTACCACTTGAACCACATCTCCCATCTAATAAAATTTATTTTAAAAAAGAATCTTTGCTTTTACAGACTTTGTATGCTGGTGAGCTATCTTTGTCACAAGCTCCACTTTTTGCTTAAGCTAGTTGAAGGGTTCTCTATTCTGGGTAATTAAAAGATCCCAAAATCACATTTTATAATTCTGCTAGTTCTTGATTAAAGAAAAACTAGCAAACTTATTAAGGTCACAAAACATATCCACGTTTCTAATCTGTATTATTTTCAATCCTGACTTTGAGCTTTCAGTAAAATCTGATTGAGGCAATCATTGTTTTTAAACAGTAATTTTATTTTCTTTATTTTAGATTTATTAGCACAAATAAGGAGTTGCATTATGATATTTACAATATGCATATACTGTACTTTGATCAAATTCACCCAATCTATATTGTTCTTTCTTAACCATCCTCCCTCACCCCTACCCCCAAGCAATTATTTCTTTATCCTTAAAACATTCTTTTCTATGCTTTTACAATTTCTTCAAATTGAAAATCTTACAGAAACAGTACAACAGACCAGTAACTCCTGGAACAGCTCTAGACAATGTTTTCCACCTGGCTTTTCCTCCTTCCCAATCCCTATAATTGGATCTGTGCTTTCAAATGTCACATTCCAAAAGTTGGGGGAAGGGTCTTTCTACAGGAAACATCACTGTGGACTAATGCTGGTATTGACGGGGGACGGGGGACGGGGGACGGGGGGGGGGGGGGATACAGAACAGCGGTATTGGCGAAACTGCTCCTAATGAAACTACAAATAGGAAGAGGTTAACGGCTACATATACCCTGTGAGTAGGCAGGAATTGTATGAATCAGTTTAAACATTCTAAGATTTTTAATCTTTTATGATATCAAAAGCGCAAAATAATGTATGTAGGCATATTCTTTGCTCTGTCCACTTAAAAGACCTAGAAGAAGTAACAGAAGAAATGAGCACACATAGCACCCAGACCTTCTTTCCTAAATACTATTCTCTACCAAAGGAACCAAGACTCCACGAAAAATGGCTGTGTCCAGAATTGAAACAGGTAAAACAGAAGATGATAATGGAAAGGATCTTGTTTGTACCAGAAAGTAAGGAAGTAATCAAGTAAGTGCTTCAAAGGACAGGAGAGCCGGTCTGGAGGCATTCCTGCCAGCCAAGTATTAGATAATTTGAGCCTCAAAATAAATGAAAGATTTAGCAGCAGATTGTAAACCTCAAAGTAAAACAGGAATCTGAGGGTCTGAACTGATTTAAAACTTCTAAATGAAATGGACAGATTTCTAGATACATATGATCATCCAAAACTGAACCAAGAGGAAATTAATCACCTGAATAGATCTACAAAATGAAATTGAAGCAGCAATTAAGAGTCTCCCCAAAAAGAAAAGTCCG